CTCCCTTCTGATTTTCATATTTCCATCAGCAATATTCCATTCTCCCAGTCTTCCATATTTTAAATCTAGGAGTTTATTTGCTTCTTCAAAAATTATTCTCCAGGGCTGGCCAGTTACCTCAGTTGGTTAGAACGTGGTGCTGATGACACCAAGGTCTAGGGGTCAGATCACCTTACCAGCCAGCTGCCAAAAGGAAAAAAAAAAAAAAAAAGAATTAATCTCCAGCATCAAATTGGATAGTTTTACCTTTTTTAAAAATACCTCTTACTATGTACTTTCTTTTACATTTTGGGCAACACAGTCTACATCCCAATGCATATCATTCCAAGTCTAGTCAATTGCAATAGCCTCTAACTAATCTCAGCCTCAGCATCCCCTTTCAATGTGTTTTACCCCATGCTGGTAGACTAATCTTCCTAAAACCCAACTTTCCTCTAAAATAGTGATTCACCTCACAGAAATCTTCAGTGGTTGCCTTGGCCGAAGAGGTAAATTTTGAGCCCTGGAGTACGGAAAGCCTTGTTTGGCAAGATCTGCTTCCAACATACCCAGTTAATTGCATCTCACTGACTTCAACACCAGTATTCTGCTGCCCCATGCCTTGCCTTGGCTTCTCGCCATTCCTCACCTCCAACCCTTTATGCTTCCAAAGATCAGAGACTATAGCATTTGTTTTTGCATATCCCTTTCAGTATTGATAAATACTTACAGAGTGAACAAATAACTGAAAAGGCAAGGTGCTGGTGTAAAATTTCTGGGTTTTGCTTCCTGGTTTGTATATTCTACGTTATAGTGGTTAAAAACACAGCCAGTTAGAAAGGTCTAATGGTTCAAAAATTTATCAAATTTCATTTCCTTGCATAATTGCTCATGGAATAAAGTGCTTTGTGACTAGGTAGCTAAAGCTTGTGAGAACACTGGTTGCCTTCAAGTTTTCTTTTTCTTAAAATTATTTCTTTAGTCAGTTGTGCATATAATTCACATAATACCATTCTCCAATAATAATTTCTGAAAAGAAATATTTTATACTTAATTCTTTAGTTATTTTAAAACTATTTCCTGAATATTCATATCATTCCATGATGCATTTTTAATTTTTGTTTTGCTCTAGTGCATTTTCTTAAGCTTGAGTTATAGGGACGGAGATTCACTTCGATCTCATTTTAAGCTCTTGACAATATTGGGTATACACTGGAAAGCACAGCTAGAGTCCTCTTTGTATAAGAAGGATTAGGGCCTATAATAAACTCAGATGCTGCATCTGTGTGGTCCCTATTAACATTATGACCAGAGGACACACCAGTGACACAGTCATATCACCGTCCTTTGGGATCTCTTTCTCGGTATGTGAAAAGATTTCCCATTAGTGTCCACTCCCATATGGCATTCCCTCCTCTCCTCCCCACCCCCAAACTTTCACATTCATCTCTGGATTGATTTGCTCCTGAAATGACCCATTCTGAATTTAGAAGCAATTACATATTCAAACATTCATTTGCATGTGTTCTTCTACAACCCTTCTCTACTATAATCTGGTATCACATTCTTTAAGACCATTCTTGCTTTGGGTCATAAAATATATTGACAACTAAAGTTCTATAGATGTACGCACCTGATTTGGTCTGCATTCGATAAATTAATTGGAAAATAAATAATTTTTTTTTCTTTTTTTTATTTCTAATTTTTTATATTTAATTATTTTTAAATTTATCAACATACAATGTAGTTGATTTTCGTGGCCCTTTATCAATTCAAAAAGCCAATGACTTACTAGATATCTATAAAATACTTTTTTTCAACTTTAATCTCCAGGATAGAAATTAAAAGCAAGAGCCAAACTGAGTGAGTTTGAATCCTGGCTCTACCACTTTACTAATGACTTGAGCTGAGGCAAGTTTTGCTGCGTTTTGTTTTTAACCTCTCATGCTTCAGTTTCTACATCAGTGAAATGGGGGGATAATATTAACTCCTATCAGAGAATCACTGTGAAGAATTGGCATGCTGCCAGTATGGATCTGGCCATCGCATCTTGGGCACGAGTGGTGACAGTCAGCTTTGTACTCCATGAATATTCATAACCAATACAAAAAAAAGAATCACTGTGAAGATTAAATAAGTTAATTCAAATTGTCATGCACATAGTACTTAATAAATATGAGACATTTTTTATATTGTATGGAGTGCCCTGCACATTATAACCTATTCCTCTCTATTTATTAACCATAATAGCAACAATAACTGTAGCTGCTAACATTTATTGAGCAATTTACCGCGTGAAAGAAACTAGGCTAAACACTTTATGTATATTATCTTGCTTAATTCCCACAAAAACTTTATGAGGCAGGTCGTATCATTGTTTACATTTTACTGATAAGGAAAGTTAAAATTAGAATAGTTTACCAAGGGGCATTGTAATAGTCAGAGTTCTCCAGAGAAACAGAACCAATAGGAGATGTGTGTGTGTGTGTGTGTGTGTGTGGATTTATTAGTAAATGTTAGCTCACAATGATTATGGAGCTGAAAAGTCCCATGATCTGCTGTTTGCAAGCTGGAGACCCAGGAAAGCTGGCTGGGTAATCCCATTCTGAGTCTGAAGGCATGAGAACCTGGGAAGCTGATGGTGTAAATCCCAGTTCAAGGGCAGAAGAAAACTGATGTCCCTGCTCAAGCAGGCAGTCAGGGGGAACAACAACAACACCACACCATGCCTTTTTGTTCTGTTCAGACCATCAACTGATCAGGTGATGCCCACCCACATCAGGGAGGGCCATCTGCTTTACTGAATCCACTGATTCAAATGCTAATCTCATCCAAAAAACACCCTGGCAGGCACTCCCAGAAATAATGTTTAACCTGAGCACCCCAAGGCACAGTCATGCTGACACACGGAAGTAATCATCACAGACATGTAGTCAGCATCAGTGGGTATTTTTTATTTGCCCTTCCTCTCTCTCTCTCTCTCTCTCTCTCTCTCTCTCTCTCTCTCTCTCTCTCTCTCTCCCTCTCTCTCTCTCTCTCACACACACACATACACACACACACACAATAGTTACTCATTTATCCATTCTTTTGGTCAGCTAATCATTAAACAAATATTTGCTACCCAACATAAGTTTCTCCAGGCTCATCCATGTTTTTGCAAATGGGAGAATTTCATTCTTTTTTATGGCAGAGTAGTATTCCATGGAGGGGTGACAATCAGCTTTGTATTTCCTGAATATTAATAACCAATAAAAAAAGAAAAACAAATAAACAAAAGCTAAAGAAAAAAAAGAAAAAGAAAAAAATATTCACTACCACTTACTATGTGCAGGGTTCAGTGTATCTTGCAGAAGTTGGTGGGGTTGAGGGGGGGCCATGCAGGGAAAAGCAAGGAACAGTCCCTGCTTTCAAGGAGTTTACAGTCTATTCCAGGAGATAGATACTCATGTCCATATAACTAAAATGGACGATGTGATAGAAGTGCTCCCAGTATAAACCATGTGCTGTAAGCGTGCTAAGGAAGCCATTAATTCTCACCTGGGAGGTGGGAAAGCAAAGATGTAAACACTCCCAGCCTTGAGCTGGGAGAGAAGGGGAGTAAGAGCATTCCAGAGAGAAGGAGTGGCATGAAGAAGTCACACAAGTGTTATACTAGAATACAGCAAGATAAGCAGGTAGCTTGGTGGGCTTAGCTCGTGGAGTTGGGCTGCGAGTGCAGGGCCATAAAGCTGGGAAGGTACATTTGGAATGTCCCTCCTGCTTTTGCGTGCGTAAAAATGAAGCAAATTCTGCATCTTTTGGAATCCCCACTTGCTTCGTTTGGTCTAAGCAAAGATGGGCAAGGCTAGAGAGAGAATGAAAAAAGAAGATTGTTCTGTATCCACTCTAGGCACTTAATTGAAATTAGGTCAGAGTTGGCTTTAGACCAGACCATTTGAGCCACTTTTCCAATGAGATTAAGATCTAGGGCTGCCTGGTTAGCTCAGTTGGTTAAAGAGTGTTGTAACACCAAGGTTGAAGGGTTCGGATCCTGGCGCTGGCCAGCTCCCCCACCAAAAATCAATCAATTTTACCTCTTGAGAATTCTCCATACCATAGGAACAAACCTTCCTGAGTTCTGGTGGCTCTGGGCAAGCTCTGACCAACCCCTAGTTTAGCATGGACTGTTTACAGCCAAATCAAGATCCAGAGTTATAGAGCTAAGATGCCTGGGACCACCACTAATATGGTGTGGCAAAGTACCAGATGACAAAGTGCACCATTTCACCCATAAAATTCTTCCTTTCTTTTCTACCAAGAATGGAATTCAGTAAGCTGACAGGACACTGTGTCAATATATTATAGAAAAAACTAATAGGAAAAAAAAGAATGGCAATTTTTACTCCATGCTGCGTAAAGGTGTATTTCTCAGTAATTTCCAAGTCCCCTGAAATCTGAAAATTTCTTTCATATCACTACCCACCTTATACTACCCCAAATTTAAACCTTGCCTGTACTTTTGTATTAATTTACTATTGGTTACTTATTAATTATCAGTAATTAAATATCATTCAGTGGTCCATTAATTATTGATCAATATTAATTCTAAAAAACATTAGTCAAAAATAACAGACTAAGGCTAAAAGACAAAATATATGTCATTTCTGAGATCCTTTAGTCACCTAAAGTACTACCAAATGACAGCCTCCCTCACCTTTTTGTGGAAGATTTAGACTTTGCGTTTTTTGATGGTACTAATTGAGGCAGTAGTTCATTTCTGGGTGCCAATGAGTAGAGGGTAAAAAATCTCATTTTAACATTGTCAAGAAAGGAAATCCTTTGTGTTTGGCCTTGGTTTAGTAAAAATGGGTCTCGGAGACCATATGCGGCAAGTGGATATTAAAACCAGCGTTATGAATTGTTGCTTTAGTGCTCTTAGCCTTAGAAACCTAAAAGATCTTACCAAAAAATAATACATTGTTTAATTGTTCCTCATTATATATGATGAGAGAAAATCATTTCTCTCCTTTTTTTCTCAGGTGGCCGTCGAGGACCGCATCAGGCAGCTGCATGAAGCCCACAGGGACTTTGGCCCGGCGTCCCAGCACTTCCTTTCCAGTAAGTCATTTCCAGCTTCCATCACTTAACCTCTTCAATGCATCTTGGTAGCTAAGAATTAAGAGTTGAATTACAATCATCTCTGCCAGATGCAGTGTAGGCATAAATCATCCTGAACTAGAACTTGGTGGATAAACTCAGAAGGTTCGGAAGACGAGGGCCAATTAGATCATTCTGTCCAGTCTTCAGCTAATGCATAGTTGTTTCCACAATGCATTCTCAAGCGCTAACTTTATTAATATTTTTGAGCTTTTATTTTTGCCTGTATCAGTTCAGTCCATAAAGCTGATAATTATGATATCGTGTAATTATGGCATGATCCTTCAATATATGTTGCTGTGACTCTATAATTCTTTATCTCTATATACATCATTAAATACTCCCTGCCTCCAAGTTGGAACCTCAGCCTATGGCGTTTTCTTTCCCTAATTATTCTTATCCTTTTGTCCTTGACCTCTACTCATTCTTTTTATTTGCCAGTTTTACTATTTTACTAATTATATTTTTATAATTAATACTAAGAGGAATAGCCTTAGATAACTGAAAGTTTAAGTATTGGAACATCCTATTAATCTAATAACAATGCATATTGACTTGGCAAGCATCTGTTTTCCTGTAATTAACATTGTTAATTTATACCATTCTTTCTTTGATTATAAAAGTATAGATGTTGAATGTTTTGGCATTTAAAAAGCCATACTTCCACCCCATGGAATTGACATCTGTTAGCATTTTGATGTATTTCCTTCTGGTCATGTATGAGTATGTATGAAGTTTTAACCATCATTTTAAGGCAATTAATTACTTTGTGCCTGGCAATGTTACAAATATTAACTAATTTAATCCTTGTAGCAACCTCATGAGGTAGGTACCATTATTGTATCTATTTTAATGATGAGAATGTGGAGGCCAGGGTGGGGAGGGGGAAGATGACACAACAATCACAACAATTCCTTGAACTTGCTGAGACAAGTGAACAGATATGATGTTGATGTGGGGGAGGGGGAAGAGGGAAGGGGGTAAGAGGAATTGGTAAAGGGATGGGAAAATCAACTACGTCGCATATAGATAAATTAAAATAAAATAAAATAAAATAAAGGTGATGAAAGGAAAAAAAAAAGTGGAGGCACACACTCGCACAGCTAGTAGGTAAAAGAGCCAGGATTCCAACCTAAGAAGTCAACTCCAGAGTCTGGGTTTTTAACCACTACACTGTACTTAATTTATATATTTTATAGAGAAGAAGTAATTCTATATGATCTCCCTTCATTCTTCTGCCACATTCTTTTCTTGCCATTTTCTGGTTCTTTCCTTTCTTCGCCATTCTCCATGGGTTAATAAAAAGATCCATGTTCACAAATACTTTAAGTATTTGACTAGATGTGTTCATGCATATCTCCAATTGGCCGTTGTCTTTTAGAACAAAAATTCCTAGAAGGTGTTGGTCCTATCTTTTTGTTATACATCAATAATGGATTAAGTAAGAAATTTTCTTTTCTTGACTGGTTCTAACCCTATTATCTGCATGCAGTTTAGTTATTTGGACAATGTTACACATGCGTAGGAGTTGCCAAGAAAAAAAGGAGCAAGTTAAAGCAATGTATCTAAATGAGTGGGATTGTGGCTTTTAGGAATGACTCTAGAAAAAATGATAAAGGCTGCAGATTTTGCTTCTGTATTTTTCCAAATCTCTGGTCTGCTTAACTCACCTTGATGACAGCCATTCAATTCTATTTAATTGAGATTAAATGTGATAACATGCTCCTAAGTGACTCATAAACCATAAATAAAAATATTACTATTATGAATATTAATTACTCCTCAGACACCATGTATATTCATTCACACTTTCTTTTTCTCTACCTCCCCCCACCCCAATTCCCATGTCTTCCCCATTAAAACCTATTCGGCTTATTTAACCCAGGTGACAGGTAAAGTTTAATGTGAACTTCTCCTGGGTTATTTGCATTTTATTAAAGGGTGAAAAGCCATAAGCCTGAGGAACAGCTCTCTGGTGGCAGAATGTCAGCCATAAGCTCTAAGCTGTGAGGGAAGAACTTTGAGGGGGCAGGTGGTATATCCTCACACCTTTCAAACCACATCACATCAGTATCCATTCCAAAAAGGTCAGGCCTGCAGACGCGAACACTCATGGAGAGATTGATGTAGCTGCTTGAATAGAGCCCACCCTAGATGTCACCAGTCTCTTGGCTGTCCATGTGGAATATCAATATATGCTTAAAAGCTTTGCTTATGGATATAAAATAATACCATTTTGGTTTAAGGAATATTTAAGAGATGGGACAGTGAGACTAAAGATGGATTGTTTCTTTATGTTGTCTTTTTATTTATTTATTTATTTATTTTTATTTTACTCCCCAATATACACTGTAGTTGATTTTCAGGCCCCTCTACCCATTCCTCTCCACCCCCTCCCCTCCCTGCCATAACATATCTGTTCACTTGACTTAAATAATTCAAGGAATTTTTGTGATTATTCTGTCTTCTTCCCCCCCCCACCACCACTCTTTATTTGTTTGTGTGTTTATTTATTTATGTTGTCTTGTTTTAAATTACAAAGGTAGTATCAGCTCATCAAGGAAAATTTGGAAAGCAGAGAGCACAAACAGGAAAAGGAAAAGCATCCATAATCCCATTACTCAGAGATAACTATTACCAGAAATTTGATCTACTTTCTGTCTTTCTTTAGGTGTGTGTGTGTGTGTGTGTGTGTGTGTGTGTGTGTGTGTGTGTGTGTGTGTCCAGGTTCTCTTTTTTCTTTTCAACCAAGAAGGGATGAAAATATGGTTTTATCATCTGCAGTTTTATCACCTGCTTTTTCCCTTTAGAACTATCTTTAAAATATTTTTGTGTGTTTAAATATTCTTCTACAGAGTAACTTTTTTAATGGCTGTCTAGTATTCCCTCCTGTGGCTGTACCAAATTTGTCAAGACAATTCTGAATTGCTCTATATTAAAATTATTTTAAAATTTTTACTGTTATATCCAGCATTATGACCAACATTTGTTGTACAACTTTACAGACATCTCAGATTCTATCTACAAGATAAATGCCAAAAAGTGGAATTGCTATGTTAAAGGATGTTTACATTTGTAAGGCTTTTCATGTGTGTTGCCAAACTAACCTCTAGAAAGTTGCACAAGAAATCACATGTGCCATTAAAACCACATTTGAGGCAGGGTATTTCTGAAGTCACTTACTTGTTATTAAATTGTGTCGAATAAAAAAAACAGCTTTCTCCCAAATAAATAAAAATATACTTGAAAATTTTCACTAAGATCATATTAAATGAGTTTGAATTGATACATGTTTAGTGATTTGCTTCTGGGTTACAAGGAGTAATAATAGGGTGATTTCTGAAGCTTAGAAATTACAAAGAAAAGAAAAATAAAGGTGAGACATTAACTGCCCTTCCCCACACACAAAAAAAGTGCTACTGTCTTTCTGTCTCTCTCTGCTCCTTAAACCCTCTCTTACACACACACACACACACACACACACACACACACACACACACACACACACACCCTCCTCTTTGAAAATTACATTACAATGTTTTTTATCAGTAGAGAGAGGAAGACTTTTACTAAAAAAAGTATTCACTTTTTCTTCTTGGTGGCCCAATATCTACTTGTTAAAGAAGTTGTTTCTTTTATCTTAGATCTGGGAGAAAATGAGAAAAGAAAAACATTGTTAAAAATGACCTTTATCCATTGATAGATACTAGCTGGCCTTGAATTCTTGTTTTAATACTCTGCCACTCCTAATTGACTTCTGCCACTTAAGCCAAGAAAAAGGAGAAATTCTAATAGTGTAATTTTTTAAAATTATAAATATAATTTACTATAAAATTATTATTAAAGTTGTTATAAAATGTATATTTTGTGTATATATATATATACATATATATATACTATAAATATATATAATTCTGTAGGCACAGTGTCAGTCTCTTCACATGTCAGTGATTTTAAAAAGTACTGTAGTATATCATTGGCATAGTAGTCTGAATATTGTCCTTCTTTTATTATTTTTAAGAATTTAAGAATTTTTTCTGTTTGATTTCTCAATCCACTGGGCTTCTGTTCTAAATTTTACTTTTCTTACCAAGAAAGTTAACTATATATTTGGACAAGGGCAAAAATCTTTCTATGACAGTGAAAAGTATCTATGGTGTCTTAATATTTTACAAGTTCTAGAATTTCCTAAAAGAATATTTTTCCAAGCCAGTTTCCTCAGTTCTGTAAGATTTTAATAACTGTCCCTTGAAGAAATAGTTTGGGGGTCAGTAAGATTGGAAAAACACCAGGTTATAAAGATAAGCAAGTTTCTTTCCTGTTGGAATTCTTGGAGATTTTATTATGCTTTGATACTCTAAAAGGAAAATAAAGAGTCTGTAGCTACTCTCCATATTTATTTGACTCTGGAAGTCTTTTTCAGGCACCAATTAATTTCTCATTAAACATGCCACAGAACACAGTGAATGTTTGCCCTAAAGTGGTATGTGCCAAATGGTTTAATGACAAGAATTTTCTGCTGAAGAATGTGATCTAATTAAAAACAAAATGAGTATTTATAAGGCAAAAGGGTCAACTGTCTTTCCAGAAGTTTCCAGCCCCAGCCCAACCCCTATCTCCACCCCAGGAGTCCCCTTATGCTGTGGAATTTTCTAACTGGAGAGAAGCTTAGAGAGTATCTTATAGAGTAGTTTTCAAATTCTAAGGTGTGGCTCATTAGTGAATCCTGAAATCTGTTTAATGACTTGCAACCAACAAATTTTTAATGGGATGGAATGGAATGAAACACATTAGAAAATATCAGAGTACATTATGCAAGCAAGGTTAGGTGTCGTTTTGACACTTTGGTTCTTCAGATAGATGTGTGTGTGTGTGTGTGTGTGTGTGTGTGCTTGCATGTGCTAGATCACAATTTATAAATAAAATTTTTCCCTTTGGTGGGTGGCAGTCAAAAAAGTTTG